TTGAATATTACATGTTAATAACTTGATTGGAATTATAACCTTGAGTTGACAGTTTGATACTTTGAAAATTTTGAGCCAGCCCTACCCCCAAGGGCTGTAGGGTGGGGCTCAAGGGAGTCAGTGTGCTAAAATTTCTTCATTTTCCTTGTTTAGAATCAGAGGTGCTAGTTTCAAATCCTTTTTAGTCTGAAATCTGTATGCTTGATATTGAATAAGGTGGTTTTATTGTTTTTTGTCACTTTGAATAATATTTCTGTTCATGTTAAAAACGAAATCAACTCTCTGTATAAATATATCAGGTGACCGTTAAGGCCCATGGGCCTCTTGTTGTATTTCATTACTTCGTCTCTATTAACCAACACGTTCACTATGCAGGAAAAGATTAAGTATTTGGTGCTACCATTAATGTCCAGGTTAATCTCATGTTAACTGACAAACAGCATTATCCTCTCTACGTTTTGTATAAAACATTTTTCCACAGAAAAAAGATGATATATAATTAAATATTTACCTTTATTGACCATTTAATTGCAGTAGTAAAAATACTGATTTTCATTTGGTTTCATAATGTGTTAAACCGCTCTACAGCAGAAAGATCATTCTACCGCAGTTAAAACCGTGCTACAACAGTTAAACTGTTCTACAGCAGTTAATACCGTTCTACAACAGTTAAACTGTTCTACCGCAGTTAAACTGTTCTACAGCAGTTAAAACCGTTCTACAGCAGTTAAACTGTTCTACAGCAGTTAATACCGTTCTACAGCAGTTAAACTGTTCTACCGCAGTTAATAACGTTCTACAGCAGTTAAACTGTTCTACAGCTGTTAAAACCGTTCTACAGCAGTTAAACTGTTCTACCGCAATTAAACCGTTCTACTGCAGTTAAAACCGTTCTACGGCAGTTAAACTGTTCTACATCAGTTAAAACCGTTCTACGTCAGTTAAACTGTTCTACAGCAGATAAAACCGTTCTACAGCAGTTAAACTGTTCTACCGCAGCAATGATTTTTTTATCAATTATCAAATATATCAGAAAGTATATTAGTACCTACTTCTTCCACAATGCCAGCATTGATGCAGTTTGATGAACATGGTACTGGAATGCTAACCAAATATACATGTAAAACTATTGTTTAATGTATGGAGTTCAGAAAACATCAAAAAAATTATCCTAACTTTAAAACATACTTTAAATATTCACGTGAATTGTCCGTTAATTATCCGTGTTACGATTGACGACGTGCTGGAGTGTTTACCAAAGCCGAGATGTTAAGTGTCGGTGAATCTGTCTATTGTCGACCGAAGTTTTATATTTTGTAGCTTTTATTTAAAAGAAAGAGAAAAAGTCTCGTAATGACTCACTACTCAGAAATAAGATGACTAGCCAATCATGAATGTGATAACTCTACCCAGGAACAAGGAAATATAATTATATTTCAGGATGTATGCAATCCTACGTGACATGAATCTCAATTAAGAAAAATGGCTTTACGGGTTTGGTGATAAAAATAATTGATGACACACATATACATATGTGCCGCATGTTTGTTAACATTCAGGGAAGTTAAAATTATAAGACATGAATAATTTGGGAAAATATCGCAGGTATAATACGTCAGGTAGTTTAACCAAATATGTACACCTAAATGATTGTTATAACTCTACTACGTATCACAGAGTGACATCATGAATGGTATTACAGAAAGTTAATATTGGAGAGAACATTATGATATTTAATATAAATGTTGGATGTGGATAATTGTAATATATTTGAACCACTCCAGATAATAATAGGTTCTGAACCATTTCATGTATTGGATCTATCGATTATTTAATTTTCTGAAACTATTGAACGTTTGCGGATAACCTGGGGTTCAATACCACTTGTGTATAAATAATAAAATATGATATAAATGGTGTATATTTTGTACATATAAAGAAACATATTTAGTCACAACTTAAATAATCATTTTATATTTTTATAATAACTGTGCTTATATTACCATGACAACGGTAAACACCATGACAACTGTTCATTTTAACTGTTAGAGATATCAGTCTAATCCAAATGTAAGAAACAATACGATTATATGTTTGAAGTCAGATGTTTCATTATGATGTAACAAATAGTATTTATCTATCCTGTGAAGCAATGTATACGCACGGGTACCGCGAGACGTCAGTGGTTTATATATGATGAGTACGCTGATCTGCATACCAGTTATCTGTGTCAGTAATACCAGTTATCTGTGTCAGTTATACCAGTTATCTGTGTCAGTACTACCAGTTATCTGTGTCAGTAATACCAGTTATCTGTGTCAGTT